AGACTACTGAAAACATTATGGTTGTCTGGCTTGAAGCTCACACGTTGTTACTTCTCATGCAGAGATTGTCTTGCTTCTGCATGAAATGATGATTCAAGGCCCTGTCCCTAATCATTACACCATTAGTGCATGCCACTGTAAATGCATGCGCAACAGCTGTGAGTTGGACGTTTTCTATTTGTGTAGTGGTCAGCAAACCTTTTCTGCTAATAGCAGAGCTGGTCAGAACTTCATAGCGTTGAAGGAGGGTTTTCTTGTGATTTCTGTTTGTCTCCATCCCCACATTTCTCAGTTTTCAGTTAGCTCTAGGTGTCTGTCCAACAACAAGGATGCTATATAAACCTGGGAAACTCTTGTTAACTAGCTGCATCACATTCTGGAGAGGGGAAAAAAGAAAATAATTACCTGATGAAAAGCGCTCGAGCAGAGCGGGCAGCTGCACGTACGTCTGAGCGTGGTTCGGTAAGTTTTCACGGCTTGGGGCTCCTTATGCGCATTTTGTAGGCTCTGTATGATACTGCCTTCCCCTCTGCTGTCTTTCTGACATCTCTGCAATTTCTTCCATGTGTCTGTATCCCTCCTTTGCTGCCTCCTCCCTCACCACTGGTCCTGTGCCCCCAAGCCCTCCCTGCGAGGGGCTCACAGCCACACCAGGATCTCCCACTGGGGCACAGCCCCTCTTCCCTGGCCACCCTGTTCTTTCATCTCAGAGTGGTGAGTTTCTAGCCTTGGTGCTCCCAGGAGAAGTGGATGCGTAGGTGCTGGAGATGTTACTGGCTGCTCTCAGATGCATGTTGAATCTTCAGAAAACTCTGAAATTGTTTGACACTTAGCTGTGCAGATGGATGGAAGAGCTGAAGCCTTTGATATCATGGCTTTTGCTTTTTCTTATTTTCCAAGACCTGATCACTGATACCTAATTTTTGATTGTGACATGATAGGTTGTTTTATTAACTGAGTACAGTTAATAAACATAGAAGTGACACAAAACTGGCTGCTTATACAGAATACTGCGATACAGAATGGTTTCTTCCCACTGGTTATACTCCACACAGTATTGCACTGTGGGACTGAATTGTCTGATTTCTATTGTCTCCATGTACAGCAGCATCTGGATGGGAATTTTTGGCTTTTTGTTCTTGTACCTGGTCTTTGGTGGCTTCTCTAAATATTGTGCCTTTTTGCAGCATAAACCTCCCCCCCCCTTAAGTGAGAAGTATCGCAGTGCATTAACGAGTGGCTTTAGGAGGGAAATTCCTG